CAGTGGGTGCTGTGGCAGAGCCAGAACGCGGGTTTGAAGAGCAGGAACGAGGAACATTGGCTCTAGTTTGGTTTTAAGGTATCAGGTAAATTTGCATTGCTGGCAAGTAAAGCAAAACCAACCCAAACCAGGAAAATCCTTTTCGTTTGAACACAGCTGGAGTCTGCAGTAAAAGGCTTGAATGCATTGGATGCAGTGGGACCCTGGGTCTCACAGCTCAGGTTTGATGTTCTCCAGCTGGAGACACATTGGGCCAGCAGTTACCAACCCAGCTCCCCAACCTCCTGTGGGACACCAGCCCCAAGCTCCCTGCTGACACCCACGCCAACGCTGCTGCACAGTGACAAAGTCTGTCATTAAAACCACCCATTTCTCCTGGAGATTGTGGCCCAGAACAGCTGATGTTCTTTGACACCACCAGAAATTACCAAACCACATCTCCTGAATTTGATCTTTGTAATGAAAGATGTGCACAAGAATGCTTTAAATTGGGATAGTAGGTCTTGACAGGCTCATGTAGACATGGAAATGATATGTCTGAGCCAGTATGGGACTGATAGTTAAGAAGGAGACGAATACTCCATGCAAAATGCAAAGCTGAATGTTTTTGCATCTTTTCTAACGTTGTTGCACCACGTAAACACAGTCTGTATGATCTGCACTAAGGCACTGAGGGTGCATTTACCAGCTCTTAAGGTTACCTCTGAAATGCTACGATCTCTCTTCATGGCTGTTTTATTGGCTGGGGTCTGCTGTGAATTTGCCTTCCAGGCATAAATCAAACAAATTACACCCAGAATTAAGCAGAATGAATTCTGCTTTCAGAGGTATCCAGAGAAGAGCCTGGGAACTTGGCTGGAGTTTGGCTGGACCTGGAGGTAGATTTGATTTCTGTTCTTGCTTTTCTCTTGTCCACCTCCCAGGAACCCCCAAATTCCATTAATAGGTGTTAATAGGCAGGAGTAGCCTTCCCCTTGCCTCTGGATGAGCAGAACAGCATCACTGCAGCTCCTCACATCAGCTGTGGCAGTGCCATGGGGTGGAGGAGCACAGCTGCATCAGCTGGTACCTCATCTGATCACCCACCAGCTTTTTCCCATTATAAAAGAGAAGCTCATCACCTGGCTCAGGCTCCTGCCAGTCTGCAAACTGGGGCTGTTGTGGCTGCTCCTCCATCAGATGGTGGTGGAGATCCCACAGGCACTTGGCTGAGGAGCAGCTCCTTGATGGAGATTCTGCAGATGAGAGCTGCGGGCTGGGCTAGAGCAAAGGTAAATCTCTTCCTTGGAGTCTGTGGATTGTGGGTTACATCAGAGCAGGAGAGCTTTGCTCCCTGTGGTCCTTGCTGCCTGGCACGGAGGGAGTGGGCCAGGGTTGAGAAGCAATTATCTGTGTGACTGTAAAATGCAGGGCTGCTGTGCCTGGCTCTTGCAAACAAAAATGGGGAACAGAAGGTGTGAGCTGGCAGGTCCCAACCTGCCTGATGAGCAGACAGGCAGCAGGAGAGGTTCCCACCCAGCACTGGGCTCCTCGGGCTGTTGACTTTCAAGTGCAAATGTTTGACTGGAAAGGCAGCGAGAGTATAAATGAGAGAGGAGAGGAAGATGCAGGAGGAAGCTCTGAGTGAAGGGGTCAGCCCTCTGAAGCCAGCTCCTGCCTGGTTTAATGGTGCATTTTCATCCACGTGCTCCTCTCCTCTGACCACTCCTTTTTACCCACGGCTGGTTCCAGCATTATGCTGCTTCATGCTCTGTCTCACTGCACATCACTTGCATAATGTAGACCCGTGGCTACTGCTGTCTCAAGGGCAATCTCAGCTTGTTTATCTCATGAGGAAGGAGGAGAGCATTAAGGTCTATTTCAAAGCATTTCTGGCTTGAAACAGAACCTTAGTTTATTTTAAAAACAGCCTGTTTTGGAAACAAAGGGCTCTTCCAGTCCTTGAATTAGTCAAACCCAGGGAGGACTACAGAGTAATGTACATGTCAAACAAGAAAGCTAAGTTTTGGTTAGACTTCCCAGGAGAAATCTCACTCCCAAAGGTTGCTTGTGAAGCTGTGATGGGGTGGAGTACTGCTCATTAACAGGAGGTGTGCACATGGCCTGGTTGGTGTGAAATGGAAACAGAAAATAAGGAATTAAAACAACAGCCACAGAGAGGGGAGCAGGGTCGTTCTTCTGGGAATGATCTCCAGGTCTCTGCCTTTCCATGGGGTGAAGTGCTGCTCTTGGGTTCTCTGGGTTGAATCACTCAAACTGGGCAAGCCCTGTTTCAAAAGCAGGCATTGCTGTTTAATCCTGCAAGCAAAATGGGACATTTTACAGGCTGGATCTGTTTGTAGCCGTTAGAAATGAAGGCGTTTATCCCTGCGGGCTGTGTGACTCCTGGGCTGAGACCTTACACAAGAGCAGACACATGACTCTGCTCAGTGCCATGCAGTCAAGCCCTGCTGCTGATGGATGGATCCTGCTCTCGCAGGGAGCATGGGCACCTCTCAGCTCCACGGAGATTTTTGCAGTATCTGGGAGTGGTTTCCTAAACCCAACCTGTGCTTTCTGCCTCTTGCTTCAGCCAGGGTGACCCCAGCCCTGGGGACAAGCAGGCAGCTGGGGAGGAGGGCAGCAGGATGGCATGGATGTGAGCACCCAGTTTGTAAGGGCACAGCACCCCCTTGCTTGTTGGCCACGTGTTGGCCCAGAGGCACCTTCTCAAGGCCACATGGACCAGGTGGCATGGGGGGACCTCAGCTCTGGCCATGTTTATCATGACCCACTGGCATGGGGACAGGTTGGCATGCTGTGTGTAGGGCAGTACCTGTGCCCTGCTCAGCTTAATCCTACCTAAACCCCCCAAAGCCCTGGAACTGCTGGCGATGCCCCAGGCACGTGGCAGAGCTGCTGCCCCAGCTGTGATGGGGTTAGGGCCATCCCTGTGCCTGGCCAAGGGGCTCTGGGCTGTGGGTATCACCCATGGTGAGCACCAGGCAGCAGCAGCTCACTGGTCCTGCCTGGTCACCGCTGGCCCAGCTCCAGGCTTGAAATGAGATGCCAGGGTCTGGCTGGGGAGTTAATGACTTTCCAGGCCCCTTCTCTCTTTTGGAGTCAATGTACCTGCAACACAGTGTTTGCTGAGCTGGGTTTTTGGTCAGACCTGAGCCCATGTGGCTTCTCCTCATTTCCTCCCTGATGTACAGGTTTGCATTACTGCTGGCCAGCCCGTAACTAATTAATTGCTCAATGACAAACATGAAGTGTAGCTAGTCAGAACTAATTTCCTCATGTTCCTTGGATTCTTTACATGGGTCAGTACTATTCCCCCCACTTTAAGTGGGGTTTTGTGAAATGATGCAGCTTTGGCAGAAGCTCCCCTCCCCTCCTTTCCATGCAAAACCCAAGCTCCACTGGTGCCTGTTTGGAGAGGAACTGGGAGCCTGGCTCTGGGTTTTGTCAGTGGGAGCCTGGTTACTATTCACAAGGCTGCCTTTAAAAGCTGATTGTACTGCAAGGTCAGAGATGAAAACGATTCAGTGCAACTTTATCTTAATGCTGCAAGCAGTTAATTAACATCAGTGAATTATTTAGTGCAATTGCCTCCACGGGTCAGCCCCTCTCTCTGAAATAAGCCTACGTTAGATTTGAAATTAAATTGCCTGTTGGGAGCAAAGGCACTTGCTTTATTAGCAGAGACACTCTCTGTACGTCCCACACCGAGAGCCAGGATCACATGAAAGATTTTTTTGGTGAAGAATAATTAAAATGTTCCTTTCAAGCTGAGCTGTTAGTGCAGCTTTTCAACTGCACAGCTGCTGTGGGAGATGTCCCTGCAGGTCCAGGTGATGGTGTGGGTTGGAAGGGATTGAGTGGAGCAGTGGCAGGTCCCATGTCACCAGTCTGGCAGTCCTGTGGCAGATTTGGCATCTGCTTATTGTACTGGAAGCACTTCTATGGAATCCCATCTCATGTGGCTCCTGGGTTGCTCCTGCAACCAAATGTCTGGTTCAGACCTCATCATCTGCAATGCTTGGCTGCTGTCTGGGTCACACGCTCCTCAAATCAAGACACATTGATGTTAAAACTCATTATTCAGCTTTACCAGAGCTCCAATTCAAGAGCAAATCTGTATTACACAGTCATTTTCTGATCATATACAAGTTTATTACAGAAATAAACCACCTTTGTTATAAAATGTGGGCAGCACAAACGTTGACAGCATCAGCTGGGTCTGAAAGATGTGAGGAGAGTTTGGAAGGGAAGGAAATGGTGCTGTCTGGGATTTGCATCTCTCATTTTGGGCAGCATTTCTGGTTCTACCACCGACACACAGTCTGTCCCTTCATGATAAACACGGATGTGTGTCTGTCTCACTCTGAAGTGAGTAGCCAGGATATGGAGAGCAGTCTGGAGGAGGGGACAGCGGGATGTCCCTGTGCCCATCCTGCCCCAAGCAGTGGACAGGAGCACTGGTGCATGGGGGGAGTGGTGCTGAGTCCACTCCTGTTCCCATCAGCCGGGCAGTTTTGTATCTGGCAGTTGTGGCTTTTGGGAGGCACTTTGTGTTCAGACCTCACAGGCTTTGGATAAAGTTAATAAACCCCCATAAAATCCCAAAGGAGCTGCAGAGTCCTGCAGTTCTTCCCAGACAGGCTTTATCCACAGGCAACCCCTTGTAAATAAGCCAAACCCCCAATTCCATGGCTTCCCCGCTGCAATGAATCCACAAACACGTTAAAGACCTTGTAGGAGAAGATGCCCCATCCACAAGCCGGGTGATGCTTTATATAAATAGCTCATATACACTTGCTATATACAAAATATGTACACGTGGTGGAACTTTATTTGGTGTGAAGCTTCAAACACCTCTTGTGGTGCCCCTCCCAAGATGCTGGGGCAGGAGATCACAGCAGAAGATGCTCATGGTTGTGCTGCCCATGGACAGACAGCGAAGGCACCTGGATCCAGGAGGAAAAGCTCCGTTTCCAGCAGCCCCACCACCCGCAGAGCTATTCCTTCAGCAGACCGAGCTTCTTCAGCGCTTCTCGCCGGTTCTCATCGGTCGCACCCTTGGGGGAAATCTTCACGCTGACACAGGAGCGGGTGGGTCTGGGGAAGCTCTGCAGAGGGTGAGATCGTCGCTTGCTGCTCTTCTCCAGCTCCACCTGCCCAGGTTCCTTCAGATCAGCAAAGTCCTTCCCTGCCCCGAGGGATGCTGGCCGGGGGCGGCTGCTCCTGAGGAAGCTCGGGGCGAGCCGCTCGATGAAGGACACCTTGCCCAGGGAGCTGCTGGTCTTGACGCTCTGCTCCTTGGCATTGGCCATGTAGCTGCCCAGCCCCACGCCGGAGCGCTCCAGGGTGTTGGATTTGAAGTTCATCTGCCGGATACCTGGCACCGACCTCTCCATCACACCGCAGCGTGCCTCGGGCTCTCTAGGGGTGGGGAATGCTATCTCCCTTGGTGGGGGATGCATGGAAGGTTGAAGATGGGTGCTGGGTTCCCTCCTGTTCTGTGACAGTCCAAGCTTCTCCAACGCCTCCCGCCGGGCTTTCTCCCTCTCTTTGGGGTCAAGGTGCCCTGAATTTGCCTTTTCAGCAGCAGCGTCGCTGGCAGAGCTGGGCTGAGAGCTGGCCAAGGATGGAGGTGGTGCTTTTACCTTCTGGCTGGGCTCCGTGGCAAGTGGCACTGGGCTGTTTTTGCTGGTTTTCAGGATAATATTTGGTGGCAATTTTCGTGGTTTGGGGGCAGTTGGGGGCCCGCGCTTCACATCAGGGTCCTGAGGGGCCTCTTCCAACGTGGATTTCTCTGGTTGGCCCCGTGAAGTCCGAGTCTTGGTCTCCTTGCCTGCTTCCTTCTTGACATCTGAGCGACTGCTGCGTGACCGCTCATGGCTCACCAGGTCATCCTGGAAGGGATCTGGAGGTTGGATAATTAATGATCCCAGGGACTTCATCTGGCTTCTCCCATTGGCTTGGTCAAGCCTGTCCTCCTTGGCCATCTCCTGTGAAGATTTGTCTACTGGCACTGGGTCCTCCACTGTGCGGGCAGATGCTTTGCTGTCAGAAGCTCCGTTTGCTCTTTGTGCATTAGCTACAGTGATGTTCCTTGGGAGACTGTAATAGCCTGGGCTTGGAACCACTGCTGGAGCCGAGCTTGAGAAGGCAGAGATGTTCTTACCACTCTTCTGTTCAGCTGCACGCTGCTGACCTCCACTTGGAGAGGGAGCCCCATTTTCTAAATCTAGGCAAAGAGAGAGATGTGAAGTCACTCCCCGTTCTGCACATGGACACAGGACACCTTCCTGTGTGCAAAACAGGCTTCACTCCTGATAAAGCAGCATGGTCATGGCAGAGCACTTGCACCCAGGGTGTACCCTGACTCCAGCTAATACACTGTCACTGCAAAGAGGGTTGGATCTTTCTCCTGAAGAAAAGGAGGCTGAGAGGAGACCTCATCACTCTCTGCAATGACCTGAAAGGAGGGTGTAGAGAGGTGGGGGTTGGTCTGTTCAACCAAGGAACAAGTGACAGGACAAGAGGAAATGATCTCAAGTTGTGCCCAGGGCAGTTGAGATTGGATGTGAGGAAGAATTTATTTGCTGAAGGGGTTGCCCAGGGCAGTGGTGGAGTCCCCATCCCTGGAGGGATTGAAGAGTCGTGTAGACACAGTGCTGAGGGACATGGGTTAGTTGGGGACTGGTCAGTGTTGGGTTCATGGTTGGACTCGATGAGCTTAAAGGGCTTTTCCAATCCAGGCAATTCTGGGATCCTTTGGATTTGACAACGCACTGGTTGAGTGAGGAGCATGGCAAGCCATGGAATCCTGTTCAGAGCACAAGCGAAGATGCTCCGCCCTGCGGTTCTGCTGACCTTGCTCACTAGCTGCCAGCAGCTCCTGCACACAAGAACTGGGAAAATGCAGTTGGTGCTGTACCTACCTCGCTGCCTACAGCCACTGCTCACCACGGAGTGACCAAACCAAGCGCCTTTACCTCACCACGTAAATAGAACTGGGGCAGCTCTCCTGCCCTGCCTGCCACGGGAACACACCCCAGCACCACAGTCCCTTTGCAAACCAGGCTGGAGCACGAGTTTCCAGCTTACCCCGAGGAATGGAGTCTCTCCGAGGCCACGTCCCAGGCAGCTTGGAGGGCTCCACATAGTCGGTGTCATCAGTAGAGACCCCACTATCTGCTTCTGCATCCAGTGAGCCAATAGTTTCTTCTAAGAACATACACTCTTTCTCTTCCACAGATAAGTAGTCATAGCTGTTGTCACTCTGCAAAAGAAAACAGCAGTGCAGGTAGGAGACACACGTGTGGTATTCACAGCCCTGATGGTTAAGGAGAAACCTGTGACAGCTCCTGGCCAGGAGACTGGGCTGTGACTATTCAAAAATTGGTACTTATAGCTACAGAAAACTCAACAGCTTCCTCTAAAAATAGGTGTGTGTGTATATATATATATATTTATTTTTTCTTTACTTAAGGCCTTTTTTTATGTTACCCTACTATGAGCATCAGAAGATGGGTTATAATTAACTTGGAAACTTGTATCTTTTAGTTCTTTAGTTTGGTGCTTGAAATGAGCAGGTGGGTAACAGGGGTGGTCAATAGGTACAGATACTTGTACTGCTCAGCAATGCTGAATCTTAGGAGCTTGTTTAAATACCATAAATACTGAGGGTGGTGGTCTCTCCTTGTTCTCCTGTTTATACCCCAGCTTTGGAAGGAATACAGCAAGATTCTGTTTGATTTTTGTTGTATTTCAAGTATCATGAGATAGGATTGCTGTGGAAATGCCAAGTTATGAGGGGATACATGCAATATATCATGAAAAAAGTGCAGGAAAGGATGGAGTGTGCATCAGATCAACAAGCACAGAGGAGAAATTGTCCCAGGTGGAGTTGTTTTGCAGAGACACCTCTCCAAATCTGGTACCATGCAATATTGCAACCAGTTTTTCCATCCCTAATAAATTTCAGAGGGTTTGGTTCTGGTTTGCAATACATCAAATGGAAAACCTGTTCAGGGCTGAGTGTTGCACTTACACATATCAATTATGCTCCAAGTCAGACAGGATGTAATTAGTCCATCAATCTTGGAATCAGTGTTAGGAGACAAACAAGCTTTAATGGACAGATAGTGAAAAATTACACATCTACACCTGTGGTCCAAACTCATCTCTGCCTTAACTAGGAAATTAATCTCTTGTCAGCCGGGAGGAGTAGGGCTCGCTGTCTCTTCAAGGTGAAGTCACCCTTGTCGGAGCCAGTCTGACCCAGTTATCCAACTGGTCTAATCCCTCACTGGGTGCTCACCAGGCTCTTCCTGCCCAGTGCCTGCACTATCTGCCTCTGCATCTTCCAACACCACAGGAGCCGCTGGGCTCTTGGTATCATTTCCCTGAGGAGACCTTGGAGGAGCGAAGGCTCCTGATCGCTGCCACACACGTGGCAGGATGGAAGGTCTGGGAGTGCTTTGGGGCAGGAATTCATCTGGTCCTTGCACTGCCCTTGGCATGGTGCTGTACCAGGGCCCCCAGGTGCTTCCAAAGCACTGATGGAGAGTGATTTTGAGCAGAGATCTGACCAAAATCCTTCCTCAGCTGCTGAGAGGGGTGAGCTGAGCCCCTGCCATGCCCAGGCTGGGCACGATAGAGTTACTTACATGCTGCGAGTGGTTGGAGGCCGTGCTGACCATGCTGTCGCAGCTCCCAGAGTTGCAGCCAGCCATCCCCAGCCCCAGCTCCTCCTTAGGCATATCACAGGCTGCCGTGGCGTCTGGCGCAGGGGGCAATATCCCAGCTGAAGCAGAAGAAAGGAGAGGCGTTAAGCTGCGAGAGCCCCCCGGGGTGATGCAAGCAGGGTAGGCAGGCTGTGAAGCTGCTGGATAGATGATGGATGGATGCAAATGTGCTTGATCTTGGGTGCTCTCTCCAGGAGAAGGGGCAGCTGGGCTTTTTTAAAGCATCCTTGGATCTGAAGTTTTCCCCAAAAGAATTGGAAATAGGGTAAGCTCTGGGCTGCCTGTCCACAGCCATCTCCTGTTGGTGGTTATCTCATCTCAGAAGTGTGGATAATGTAGTTCCTGAGTGAAGGAAGAGGTTGTAAGCCCAGCTCTGCCTGGTGGGACCTCTTCCCTCCACCACACCCACTACTGCTGCCTACGCAGCTGAATTGCTCTTGAACTTGTGAACATGCTGACCCGAAATGCTGCTGTTGAGTCACAGCCTGGCTCTGCTGGGAGCTTCCTCCTGGCAAAGAGCCTCCTCTGCCACCCTTCCCTGGGGGACACAGAGGTGTCGTGGTGGTGGGGAGGTGCCCCTGTACTTTTGGGGCACACCTGGGTGGGTTTGGGCGCACACCTGGCAGGGCTCACTGGGGGCTGTAGCCACGTGCTGTGTCCCCAGCCACCCTGGGGGTGTTGCAGGCAGCACCCCAATGTCCCCCTCTGCTTGTGGCAATGTCCTCCTGTTGCTCTTCTGGATCCAGCCTGTACTCCTGACACTGGTGGGACCCAAACAACCTGCCATCATAGTTCCAACAGCGAGACCGACCCGGTGACAGAGGGACCAGTTATGTTTACAGGGTGCACGGCTGAGAGAGCTCTGCTGCCCGCGGGGAGAGGCTGCACCACCTCCAAAAGGTGTAATTACTTACGGATAGAAAGCAGGAACCTGCCAAAATTCACCAACACTACCCATGACGTGTGTTCTTCCTGCTCTTTGGGAGAGGAGAACTGGGCTGCGGAGGCTGCTGAGAGCAGCAAAACAAACACCCCCTCCAACACACACGGACCCACGCGAGAGGATTTATTTGCTCGTCGGGAGACAGAGGAGCTCTTTGTGCTGTAACCTGGCTGCAGCACACAGGGACACACTGCTGCTGTTTGCTTGTAGCAGGATCAGGGAATTAGATCTTAGCGATAAATGAGCAGAACCAGCTGCTTGTTCAGAGTGTTAGACCCTGAAAGAATTCCTTTGTAATTGCAATATGCCGCAAAAATCAGATTTCAACACCCCACACCCTGACAGATCCAATCCTTCCATGCAGGAGGAGTTTAGTATTTCAGTTTTGGCTTTGCATTATTTACTGCTTAAATTACATCTCAGTAAGTGGTGGTTTTGCAACAGGAATACCCTTCGTTCTGTGAATTTGGGTAAGTTTATAGCCAGGGTTTTTAGCTGTCAGAAGCAGAGGTAGGGTCTGAGTTTGGGGGTTTTTAGGCAAGCTGCACGGTTTTGTTGTGTACTTCAACATGAAAGATAAATCTACTTCCAAGCAGCAAGAGACTACTGCCTGCTTGGTCAGGATCATTGCAACACTCCTCGCTGCCTCCTGCCCTGTCGCACAAATTCGAGGAGCAAAACTCTCCTGGGGAAGCAAAAGTCCTGCTCCAAGCTGATGCCTGCAGCTGGAGCAGCAGGTCGGAGCTGCATCTGCTGTGCAAAGCAACGTAGCTGGGCTCTCATCAGGGGTCTCCACAGAGCTCACTTCTCCATGAGGATTCCCACTGTCATCAGACCAGTAGAAGAAATATTTTCCTCTTGTTCAAACAGCATTTGCAGAAGCATAAAGCAGCTTCCAAGGGTTTTGCACCTGCCAAGCCCCAGCTCACGAGGAGGCAAAGTTCAACCCAGAGCTCATCGGACGCTGGAGAGGATCTACACAGAAACAAGAAGTTCATTTTCCTGCCCACTAGTTCTCTGATGCGATTAGGGCTCTAATGCATTCACCTGACTGGGGAAAGGGGAAAACTCGGTGTTGAAAAATCCCACTTTTTATGATTCAGAAGGATTTTACAGTTCCTTCTTTTCACTGAGTAACAGGGCAGTTCAGCCACAAACTAAAAATATGGCTGAGCATTTAAATCAAAAGACATGGTGCTTGAAAAGCTGTTTTTAGCAGTGTCTATATCTTCCCCCACTAAAAACACTTTTAGAAAAAGATATTTTTTATTTTAATCTAAAATAAAAGGCTGGTTCACACAGCTTTGGTGACAGCTGCCATAACTGTCCTTTCCAGAGCTCGCTGAGCCCTCAAACATCAAAGAGGTGCTGGGTAGCAATTAATGCTAATTGCTTTATAGGAAGAGGCTACTTTCTTTTAAGCCCAGTACTACTACACATGCTCCAGCATGGCTCTGCAGCACTGGTAAAGAACCTTGGTATTTTTTGCTGTCTAAGCAGCTCTCTGTCTTACAGCTGCCAGCAAAGGGCTTCATCCTGGCCAGCTCTGAACACAAACCGAAGCAAAACACCATTTGCAGAGACCATCCTGGCTGTTCCTGCTCTGCAGTGGGATGGATCCCACCTCAAGGTGAAAGGGGACAAGTGTGGCAGATCTACAGTTCCTCCTATTTAAAGAAGTAAATCAAGTGCCCGTAGCAGTTGCCTGAGCTGTTTGCTGTCCTGAGCACAAGTTTTCCCAGCCTCTCTGCCAGCAGTGGCTGGATCTCCCCACCTTTCCTCCTGCCACCACTTTCGAACCACCTCGTCCATCTTCACTGGTGCCACCTCCACCACACTTTCCCCTTCCAAAGCAAAGCTGGGTGCCTGGAGCCCTGCATCCCACCTGGGCAGAGGTGCTCAGCCCCTTGCCCACAGCCAA